AGCCATATAATCCGCAATGCCAAAAGTTGAATCGAATCGATTCAAAATTCACAGTGCCCTTTTCGCATCTCGACCATTTATAAGCCGAATTGCAAACTTTTTTACTTATAAAAGTATTTGAATGAAATTTGATACATAGGCACTNTTTTTAGCGCATTTCCACAAAAATAAAAAAAAATGCGCTATTGTGGCCACTTTGTCCGTCCGTCCGTCCGTTCGTCCGTCCGCTCGTTTTGCGACGCTACTAGTTCTTTATCTTAAGAGCTATTGTTCTACTTTTTTCGCTATTTGGTTCGTTATGATGTCGAGTCTTGTACCAAGGAAGGAATTTTTTCTGTACCGCTTACAAAAAAAGTTATTGTAAAAAAAACAAAAAACCGTGTTCCATAATTTTACACTTTTGCCGTTTATTAACGATCCTAGAGATCGTTTATAATTTTGCATTGCTATCATCTATCTGTCCGTGTGAACGATAACTTTGTTTAGAAATGTTCGATCGCTTTTACATCTCCGTTAGTTATGAACTGAATTGCATGAAATTCAATATGGGCATAGATTTAGCCATATAATACGCAACGCCAAAAGTTGAATCGAATCGATTCAAAATTCACAGTGCCCTTTTCGCATCTCGACCATTTATAAACCGAATTGCAAAATTTTTTACTTATAAAAGCATTTGAATGAAATTTGATACATAGGCACTTGGAATAAAGGAAAATCAACTGCCAATTTCAAAATTTGGTTTTGCGCATGCGCAGTGCCAACTTTTTTATTTATGGAAGAATTTAAACGAAATTTGATACATAGGCACTTGGAATAAAGGAAAATCTAGCGCCAATTTCAAAATTTGGTTTTGCGCATGCGCAGTGCCAACTTTTTTATCTATGGAAGCATTTAAGTGAAATTTGATATTTAGGCGCTTGGAACAAAGGAAAATCTAACATTAGTTTCAAAATTTAGGTTTGCGCATGCGCAGTTCCAACTTTCTTATTTAGAAAAGCATTGAAATGAAATTCTTCTCATAAACTGACATTGAAGTAGCACGACAAAAATGGATTGCCCATGTGCAACGCTATCTTTCATATTTGTGGCCGGATTTTTACGATTTTATAGAAGTTGCATCTTACAAATGGGAAATGAATGCAAGTGGAAATGCGCTTTATGTAAATCGTTTACGATTACTTTTTAACTTGTTAATAATCTGTGCACCTTTTTATGTCCTCGTGTATTCGTCTCTATCCTTATCAAAATTCACCACGGCAATATGCAAAAAACTATTTAAAACTAAGAAAAATAATTACATTAATTACAATTAATGTAAAGATTTTTCTTGGCTGAGGTGCTAGAACTATAAGCTACCGAATATAAAAAGAACGAACTAAATATCTTGAAAACTGTAGTAGTTAAGGCCTTGAAGAGAGAAAGTGGCCATAATAGTGCCCTTCCAACATGAGTTGAGAAATGCGATAAAAACGAGAGTAGGTAAATTTCGTAATAAATTTAAAGTCGGTAATTGAAATTTGTCATCTTAAAAACAAAAAAAGGATTTTTATACTATACGACCAAAAAAGAAAATTTTTTTTTCAAAAAAACTAAATTCAAATTTGTGTTACTTTTTTTTCTTTCCTACCCCTATGGTATAACTATAAACTGAGGCGTAAAAGCAATTATCACTCCAAGAAATACAAATTTTAAAAAAACTTTTTCCCGCACAACAGAACAAACATAGCTTGTGTGCATTTTAGTACCTTAATAATATTAGAGGTTTTAGACATAGTTTTTTCAATAAGTACTCGCATGACATCTTCAGACACTCTGTTTTGATAGATATTTCCGTACTTTCCACTTTCCGTCACTCTTTTTTGACTCCTCACTCCCATGGTTAGTTACACAGATTTATTCCAACGTTTGTTTTGAACCCGCTAGTAGCTCAAAGACAATCAAATACCAAATGTTCTCGAAATCATATTTTTTCGGTTCATTGTTTATGGAACCGGTAGAAAAATACAACTTATACGTGAATGTCGTCCGTCTGTTCGAAGGTTTAGGATCTCAACCTTGATAGGTTTCAACACGTAGAACAGACGAGAAAGAAAAGAGAACTGCATTACAACTTTGTTATTTACTAAGATATATCAACTAAAATTACTTATCATGCAAGTGAACCCAGTGGACATACTATGAAAGGGAGTGACTTTTGTGAAATTTTGATATTAAACACAATCCGTTAAAACTAATGGATATTATGCAACAGACCAGTAGGTAGGGTCAAAACTTTAAATGCGAATATCTGTACAATTGATTGGCGGAAAAGTTGTGGCCCGCAAAGGGACAAGTGAAGGTCTGGACAAAACACATCTGCTATTGGGGTTAAAACAAACAAGTTTTTGACCAAATACATTTTTCATTTTTGTTTGTAATATGTTGGATATGAGAATACCTTTTTGATATGAGATGAATCCGTTATACTTAGCTAAAATATGTTCTGTTAAACCGGAAATCGCCTTCGATATTTTAAAGGGGGTGCCCTTGTGCTCATTCACTTTTTTAAATCTATACATCTTTTGAAATTTTTGGAAAATATACTTCTATAAGTAAATTGTCTCTTATAAATAAAATATAAAAATATATAAATTATAAAACACAATTGCTAAACCAAAATACATGTAAATCTGACATTTAAGCATACAGAGTGTATTCTAAAAAACGTCTACAGTTTTTGTCCGAATTTCAATGCATTAGATTGACTGCAAAAATACTACAAAACGGCAATAATTAAAATGTTTTAAATTATTATTATCGGGGGCTACTAATAGTTGACTTAAATATTTTAATTGGCATGGTTAAGTGTTTTGAATTGAATTTAATAGAATTTGTCCACCCAAATTCAGTGATTAATATCAAAGTTACTCCAAATAGTGCAGATAAAAAATAAATGAATAAAATGAGTTAAAATAATGAAGTGTGTCAAATGCTGGTATAAACGGAAGTCATACTAATCTGAAAATGGTTTAATGAAACGGACTCTATGAATCACGCATATGCGTTTTATCTATTCGCATTTCTTTCCCATATAACAATCCACTCAACTCGTTGTGAGACACTTTGTATATTCGTTATCGTAATTTTATTGTAAAACTTTTAGATCAACATCATTTCGAGTAGTCCAAATATATTTTTGGTCGGTTTACTCTGCATACAGAAATTTTCCAAAATGTGCTTATGTAAGGAACAGCTTTTCTATTTACGCTCTTTAGGGTATAACCGATAACGGCTGATAAATGGAGTTAAATTGGCTCCCATTCTGATTGCTCAAACTGCTTTATCTTCCATGACTCAACGAGAGCAACAAGAATTTTTAATCATATTTTGCATACTCCAACGAATATCGAAATGAGGGTTAAACCAGTATCGTAAATCTCTAAACCTCCCCCAATAATGAAGCATTAAATGTGAAGTGGCGTTACAACAAAGTGTTGCTTTGTTTTAACGTCAATTTCATAAGAAAATTATCTTTAGTGACTGGACTCATTTTCAATGCATCGAATGCGTGGCTGATTCATAACAAGCATTCTCGGATCAAGTGACTAGTGAGGCGAAAATAAACGATTCTCAAAAAGTGACAGTTTGAGATCAGATGTCTCATGTATGGGGTATTATTATCTCCAAGTTTGTTAAAATTCTTTTGGGGTTTTCCGAACTATCAGTTGGGTGGCTATTTCAGGGGCATCTTAATTCGTACAATAAGCAATGCTTGATATTTCAATATGCGAAAAATAAATAATCTGCTTTTTTAATTTATTTAAACATGGGTAATAAAAATTACTTTCTTTACAATTTTTAAAAAAAGGCAATCGGAATTCTTCAGGCCAACACTCTCTCTCGCCGAAGTCCACTGAATTAATAATTTCAATTCGTACAAATTGTCTAAGTAATATTGCGGGAATTTTAACTGCTGCTTATCAGCAATTAAATGTCCAGTTATTTTTAATGATTTGCATGTGGACCACTACAACATTCGTACCATACCAGTATAAAATATATTGTAAACAATTTCCGAAATATTTTTATACGAATATTCAGTAGGTATCATAGCAGTGATATTTCTTAAAATTTAAAGGAAAATGTTTAATTAATTCATATTTAAAATTTATTGACAGCCATTTCATAAGGATCCAAGATTCTCGTTCGTTTTCAGTACCGCCGGACGGTTTGATAAAACACTTTTCAGTAATATCAACTATTGGTCTTAAGACGATTCTGTATAATTAAATTAAATGTAAATCGAGCAGTATTGCATAATATCCGGCATTAAAAAAAGGACCTCAGGTCATATGCTTTCTTAAATAAACGCGATTTATTAAGTAAATTAATAACAAAAATTTGTAGAATTCATGAATGTTTTGAAATATTACAACGACAATAATAATAAATTCGAGTTGGGGGTTCCGTCAATTAAACTAAGTTCGTTTACATAAAGAAGCCGATGGAATGCACCTAAAATATGAATTTCGTTAACAGATTTGACACGATAAAGTTAGAATTCCGTTAAAAATTAAAATTTGTCATATCTTCGTGAATAAAAATACTGTGAATTTCAAGGCTGTCTTGAATGTAGCAATCTAGGATGTAATTTATTAAATTCATTAATATTCTGCGAAAATGAGCAAATTATTGACTAATATAGCATAGAATTTCATTAATTCCGGTCGTTTCAGTTTGCCGTTTTGTAATCGAAGTGATTTAAACGGGATGGTCGAATTTTTTTCAAATCTGTATTTGAATGCCCTTTTCCAGTCAAGTGGAATCAAATCAATCAAAAAGGTAAGTAGTCGGTTAAAGCATAATTGCAATCCCCGACCATCATTCTTGTGAAAATAAGCTGCAGAATACAATAGCACGTGCCGCGTCTCTATTTTTTGCTCCACGAAGTTGTAGGACCATGCCCAGTAGCCGTGGTTAGCAACAATACGCCAACCATTTAAGGAATGGAACCCATGTATGGACATGGGTGTTCGGCTTCAATCGACTTAGCCCGGTATTGACTCTAAGACCGTCAGGTAAAGACGACAGTTTGATATCTGCGCTTGATGAACCGCATCCTCTGTAGGTATACCACCTGTTGCACGCCGAAACTTTTCAAATTAATGGGTAAGTTTTTTTTAAATTTTATTGCGCTTTTATGATCATTTTTAATTATAGCATTACGCTAATTTGTGTCACATTTATTTTTTATTTGTAAAAAACGCTTAAAATTGTCACGACGATTTCAGCTGTGTGGTAAAACAATGCGTTCCAAATTTAAATACTGAATAATTTTTGGTAAAAATTGCACAAAAAATTATCATCCAAATTAAACTTAAAATAAAATTTCTTTTAAGGCCTAATTAAATAAATCAAATTTTGATTTTGAAATCGTTCTGATAATCTCGAAAAAATATTAAAATACTAACACATGAGATTCATCATTCCAGCAAGTGCGCGGTGCGCGTCCAACGACCCGCAAACACCTGGTTCGAAAACGGTGTCCACCTACACCACCCTCGAGTTTAAAACGAAATGGACACATCAACAGGGTAAAATATGGTTAAAAGAAACTTTATCGACCGATATCATCCCCAAGGGACAAACATGAACCCCAGGAGGGTAGGAAAGGCTAACAGGTGTGACCTCGCGCCGCCCCCCACTTCGGCACAACAACTCGGTCAGCACGAAGAGTAGATGTCGAAAATCACGACGGATATTTTCAAAAGGTATCTCTCATTCATATCTATCTAATTACTATGCCTTCTTTTCAATTTAGTGAAAACGATTTTTTTCTTTTACTCCGACGCGCTTAATTAATCCTCCACTTTGCCGTCTTAACAAACCCATCCCTTCCCATTTCTCCATCCAATTACCGATCAAATAGGTTAAGATTAATTTGTTATAAATACACCTACTTGTTATCCCTACCCATCATAAACAATGAGCAATAAACAAGTTATTATGTTTACTCATAATTCGTGATCGGTGTTGTTAAACGCGCTAATTACATCAACGCGTATAAAATTATTGTTATAGACGCAATTGTCCACCCCACAATTTCTTTAAATTATCACGTTTAGATGTGGAAAAATTTTAATTGAATTAAATTTGTTGTTAATTTTAGTTAATTTGATTTAATTGTAAAGCAAAGATTTTTGAATGCATTCACGAACTAATTTTTTATAGATCAGCGGTATCAACCAATACATTTACACTGGAAGTGGAAAATAATGTGGTGCACGTTGATAATTTAGTGGATGTTTCAGGCTGTAACGAGCGATTTTCGGGAAACTACCATTAGTTCAGCGTTGCGAAATGCGAACATAATTACTTTAATGGTAGTTACGCATCGATTTTGGAATGTTAACTTTTTTAAAAATAAAATCGGATTAATTTGCCGAGATTTTCATTTATGGTAACAGCACAGTGACTTTTATTAATCACACGCACATAGAACGAGAATTTTTGGAGGCATTTATTAAATTACCAAATTTGCGTTTGAGGGTTGAATGAAATTTCAAAAAATTTTTTCGCGCTTTGATTTAATCCGAGTGACGTCTCAGATTTCGGCTACTTATAAGGAAGTAACGAATAATAGCTTTTTGGTAACATAAAGAGTTGGTCGTCACTCTGTTAACCTTGTATCTAACAAAAAGTGCCATAAAAAACTAACGCCTACTGAAGATTTGCGCCCACTTATGCATTCGGGCAAAATTTACCAAACTTACGTTACGACATGCAAATTATACATTTCTAACGTGGCCTCAAAAAATCGTTGACTTTTATGGAAATGACTTTTTTCCTCTGCTAATCACTTTCAATTTGTACTATGCAATTGCACTGTGCTGTTAGATTCCATGTAACGAACCAAGAATCTTTGCTTTACGTGGACATATTTATTAAATAACAGTAATAATGATAGTACATTGAAAAAAGGGTATCTACTGTTACATTTGTGTTAGTGATCAATCAAACGCATGTATGACATTCCGATCTTTAATGTATTACAACTGCACTTTTTAGCGTTAATTGGTTCACATTTTTTAATCGATGCGATTTAATTCCAGTCTAGTAGATCATCAACCCCGCTTATTTTGTTTTATGTTTTAGACGTGGGAGAAGATCTTCAAGTCCAGCGCAGATTTATCACAGTTCACCACCACCATTATTATTATCACACAATGCTTTGTAAATTTTAATTAAGATTTAATTTTAAGTAACTCCATGCTTGACAAGGAGGATTGCTGAAGAGCTTTAAATAAATTTTAGTTATTCTTATTGATTTATTTTCTTTTCGTCGTTAAAGGCATAGTAAAAGAATAGTATAAATGAGAAATCTCATCATTAAAACATGTTTATTTATCACAATTACGGAACAATTATTATCGATCGAAGCTTTATCGAATCGAGCACTGGCATCGAGTAATTAATTAAACAGTAAACTGACCATTTTCGAAATCACAATTAATTTTGTTACATTTATGGTAAGTATTTTGAATAATACTTCAAAAATGGTCATAATTACTTGAGAAACAAAAATTTAATAATGCCAAAGAAATTGATCGCTTCTGTCATACAAAAGAGCATAGTAAGAAATAATCAAATAAATAACAAATTATAAATATCGTTGTCTAAACGTAAATAAATATGTAACAGCTAAAAGGACTACTTAACGACTTTTTAGGATGCACCGTTACTAAAAATTTATTTAAAATGCAGTGCACCGCAGTTGTACCCAGCACAAGTTTCGACTGAAACTGAAGTTCGCGGAATGTAATTTTACATGAAATTAATAATTAAAAATAAGGTCTGTACAAGAAATTAATTTAATTAAAATACACTAGTAACTTTAACACCTACACTTTATGTACATAAATCAAAATCAGGGATATTAAGGGATAGTTTGCAATTTTTTCACAGATACGTCGCTTAATTAATAACATTCACGAAACGCCTTGTCCAAATTATCATAACTGTTGTTAATAGAGATAACGATCCAATTAAAAATGTACTAGACGATGGTGGCATAATATTTCGGAGAATTTTTAATTGAGCAGCCAAGAAATGTGAAAATTGAAGGTGCAACGACCGAAAAATAAGTGTACCACCAACGCAAATAAAAAAAACTCCTACACCGAATACAACACGAGTAGGTACCTTACCTGGCCAATAAAAGTTAGATTTCGTAAACTTAACAGGTAGGATGAAATTGCCTCAATTGGAATAAGCCCGCCGGATTGTATAAAAGGAAAATTGCAAACTACACCGTAATATTAGAATAACGTGTAAAATCGATTCGAAAATGATACCCTGAGTCAGTTAGCTGTTCTTCGTCTTTCTGGCGCTACAAACTGTTTACCATTGGAGCACCCTGTATGCCATTAATGCAGATGTTCGTTAATACGACGAAATTATGCAAACGGCGCTATATTTAAAAGTAGATGTCGCTTGAGATTTTTATCTTAAAAATGTTGGACGCGCCTAGATTAAAAACTTTTTTTTTTGTTTTGAAAGTATGCTACTTATTTTTGTAAACAGCTTGTAAGGATTCATTCCAAATAGATAAAACACAACTGACACAAACTACAAAATTTAACAAAGGCATGCTTAATTTAAAAAATAAAACAATTTCGTTTTACGATAACAAAAACATCGCCACATACGTACACAGATTGAATTTAATTTAATTTAAACAAAGGGCATTACTTATAGCTGTAAAAACTGCGTACACGCGCCTATAGGTACGAAACAGAAGAAATGCACGAAGCCAATTTCCGCTTCCGCAATACCGGAAGTAATACTAATGTGAAACAATCAAACTCAATACCGTTGCAGTCTGTATCATAATTACTGTATTGCAATTTATTTTAAAAAAAGGTGTCCAAACAGCCTACCAAATACGCACGGTGAGAAACCAAATAAATCTCATATTCCAATGCGTGAGGTCCGACTTTGGATGAATTATTCAAGTCGATCATCGTGCTTCACTTTTAAAATTAAGTTCAACGCGTCCAGTGCAAGATTCTGTTCCGCATTACGGCTGCTAATTGACTTTGACAATCAATGCAAAAATTTGTACTTTGGTTTTGGTTTATCCAAACAAATTATTGGTACGCGTATAATCATCGTAACCGTATGTGAAATATCAAGATCGAAATGGCGTTCACGCCACAACCACAGCATTGCACTAATGACACGATCTTTGTTTAATAAATAAGTCGCTTCGTTTAGTCTCTCTTTGGGAAACTAATTGCACGATTTTGGATTAAATCTATCGTTGCGGATGCGAATGTGACATGTGCGTATGCGAATGAGGGTGTTGGGAGGATAAGCCATAACCTTGATGAGGTGGTGGCAAAGGACTAGGACACGCTTGCGAATATCCATGCTGAGGTGAACCCCCTAACCCCAAATGGCTTTGCTCCAAGTGCGAATAATGCGCTTGGCCCCCTAACGAATGTGCATGTGTGTGCGTATGTGGCGATCCATATACCATTTGTCTTACTTTCGAATCCTCGTCACTGATATTGTAGGTGAGCTCGGTTTCTTCAAAGCCCGTGGCCGACATTCGTTGGTCGCCAGCGGAAGAACCGGCCGGCGGGTCTGGTGAATTTAAACAAGTTTGTATTAGCGCTTTTCCAGCCTCGCTAGTTATCATGGGTTGAAGTTTACGGGTCGCAAACGTATACACATGCCCCGTCTCTGACGCTACCAGAAGCATAACTTGTGTTCCGGTTAGTGTCGATAACTCGTACGCCTGTAAATAAAAAAACACGCACATTAATTCGATACGGCATTTATTGCAATGTCTTAACATTAATACATGAATGACCTTCTTTTACGGCTACCTGGGGTGAACTGTAATGTAACGCCATATGACGGAACTAACACATATCAGTCACCAAACCGACCCATATGGCTTGTAGGATAAACGATTATTTATTGTAAAAACACGTTTGGGCAAAGATAGCGCATTTTTCATATGTAGATTATAGTATCTTGTCCCTGTCTATCGCGGTAGCGAAATTGCACAAAAGTTGACCAATACGGCAAGAGAACATAAGTTTATTGTGCATCAAAAAGCAACGTATTTTGCAGTTTCCGCATAACTTAAGATTTTGCTCTACCAACTTAACCAAAAATGTAGTTTAACAGGAAGCCAAGATCTAGTTCCTGTGCACCAATTCAATCCGTTTCCCCGACGAAAATGGTGAATAGCTAATTGCAAATTTTGCCCTACCAACTTAACCAAAATGAGAGTACTACAGGAAAAGCACAACATTTAAATCCCGGAAAGCAAACCACTGTATTTTGCAGTTTCCCCGAAGAAATTGGTGGAATAAGTTTGCCAAAATTTAACCATCATTCCAAAGTGATTACGAAAAAACAGTTCTTTCTACAATACAATACACTTTCTCTCATCATTATTATGGTTCGAATACTGGCCCCACTAGCTTACTCAATCCTCTTGTACAGATATTCAGGAGATTTTAACGTAAAACTAATTTTAGCCATTTTTAGGAAACGCATTTAATCGCATTGCATTTACGCGACAGACACAGGATAGGTAGAGGTACTAACCCGTCTTTATTTACGTCAAATTAACATCACCTCGACCATCACCAAGCTCAAGCTCGATTTTTATGCAGGTCTACCACGACATAGGGATGCTAAAAAAAACACGTATGAAATGATGTACCAGTTACAAAAGAATGTCAGAGACGACTACAGAATATCGGACAATATCATTTTCATTTACACTATGTTCGAGATAAAGAGGGCCACCATGACCATTCTAGAAAAGGTAAGGAGATACAAATTTAATTAAATTGCAATCAAAAGTGTAAGAATTTTTATGTTTTATATTTCCTATTCGGGAATATCTGTCAATGAGATTTCCAGAAACAGTGGTTAGCGCGCACTTGGACACCCTGGCCATCGCGTTTACAGGATTACCTATAACTCCGTTTGATTTCTTCATTAAAAATCGTGTTTATCGGCAAAAACTGAAGGGTTTATTTGCTAGTGTTACTCCATAAATGCTGATGAGGATGTTAGAATCGACGATGAGGAAATGCTATCTGTGTTTAGAAAGTGTCGTTAATTGATAGCTTTATTGTTAAAAAAAGTCTTGGTACAGGTCCATAACAGGAATTTTCTTACCTAATTAACCGGAAATAAAGGGCACACAGCAATTAAATTTTGAATCGGAATATCAGGGTCGTATTTAAAAAAAGAAGTTGATTATTCGCAAAGACGAAATGTTGGATAACAAAATTCACGTCACCTTAAAGAGCATTAAAAGTTGCCGTAGAGAAGTGTCATTGGTTTTGCTCTATGTCAAATATTAACGCCAGAAAAATAATTTGTAAAATCTAAAAATCCGATTTTTTGAAAGTATTTCCAAAACCAAAAAATTTCTAAACACTCTCTTCTTAGACCAATAATTATGCAACTTTTCCACACTGAACCAAATTTACCTCATACCGTTTCTAGAATGCCTATAGTGGCTCTTCTTACATCGAAAAACTCACGTAAAGTAGTAATTCGGACTTTCACCCCCCTTATTTTTTTTAATTTTCAATATAGTTGAATTTATAGTCGTAGAAATCAGAGTTTATTTTGTAACCCGGAGGTCGACAATTCGAAGTACACATTTTGAAATTTTTTACAGAATGAGACGATCAATTTCGTAGCCCCATAGTTAAAGGAAGAAAATAATACCACAATCCAATTAACGTCATAATTTAAATAATCAATATAAGTTACGTATTTTACAAAATTTTCAAAATTTAAAGATGAGCGACGAACACTGAAAAAGAGCACATTGTAAATCAAACGTGGGTTGATTTGGGTGAACTGAGTTTGCTCTTTTTTAGTCCTGTCGCCTAAACTTTACATTTCCTCTTTTCATCAATAATAATAACCTTTGTTACTACTGAAGCTGAAGGTTTGAAACTATTAAAATTGACCATTAATTTTAAAACATCCTGTAGAAGGACGTTCAAAATTTAAAACATTCTCATGTAGCGCAAGTCAGTATTGTTGATTTTGCAAGACTTTTTAAAATTCAGGTGAACGGAGTCATAAGTATATGACCCTAAAGAACAGCAATAAACTTTAAAAATTTTGAAAACCTTGGACGCTGGGTATAGGGAAATGTGGTATCATGTAGCTTTCGAAAATGTAATAAAATACAGGGTGTTCTATTTAAAATAAGAAAGTTGCTATCGACATCCGGTAAAACCCGAAGTGAAATGATCATAATAATATTTTGTTTCGTTTTGGTGTGCCAATTTTCAGATTTAAATTATTAATGGATGTCATTGTACCCTATTCCGTGACTTCCACCGCTATGCTGCATTCATCTTACATGCAAAACCTTATGAATTTTCCATTTAAAGTACTTGACGGACGGGCTAGCGGGGCATACACAACGTTTAGTGATGGCGCCATTTTGATTTTTGCAAAATGTGGTAGACACTATGAACGAGAAAGAAAGCGATTTAATCGATTTAACGGAGGTACAATAATCGCGAACCGTGGTACTCATTTTCTTCTGGAAATCGTTGCAAAAGCTGAACTACGAAAAGACTCTGTTTGTTATTCCAAAGTTAATTTCTTACAGGTTGTTTTTTGGGGGTACACCAGGATATCGGTTCTAAGTTTTCGACTTCGAGACAAAGTTTCATGAAAGTCAGGAAAATGACACATTACTGGCGAGTTTTGTATTAAATTTTACTCGAAATCGTATTTTAATATAAAATTTTCATATAGAACTTTTGATTAATGTCAATCTGTCAGTGATGACAGGAGTCATTATAGACATTTGTAAATGTCATAAAAGTGACGGTGCGGCCGGTAAAGTGCCAGATGCGGCCAGTAAAGTGACAAGCGGCAGGAAACGTAGTCTGCTCTGCCTCTGTCATGGAAACTAAAATTTCCTGACAGAAAGTAGGCATGAAAATTAAGGTTTCAAGATGATTTTGGGTAAAAAAAAATTACCGAAAAACGAAGGTTTTGGGTCAATTCCTATCATTTCTATTTTAATTATCTTAATCACTCATCTTAGAACTCTTATGACCCTCCCTCACTCGACTTCTCCCTCTCCCCCTAACGTGAAAATGCCTCATTTTAATATAACAAATGCATGTTAAGAAACCCTGGATTTGAGATGGAGTTGCCTCGTGGTCTTTAAAAATCGCCACCATCTCTGAAAGGGTAGGGTTCTTGCCATAACTGCATTATCTTCTTCTTTACAATATCAAAGGGCACTCAGGTGGTGTCACCCCAACTTATCGTATACAGGAAAAGAATATCCTGTCGTTCATCTTTGAACAAGTGGGTTGAATGCAGCACAGAAAAAACAAAAGCAGTGAATAGGACCAGGAGATCTGCGGAGTGGCGGAAAGTATGGAATCAGCGAGCTACGGCCTTAACCATTCGTTATATTGAAAAAAGTTTTGATTTAATTACATTAATACTAAAATATCTTGAAATCTGAGAACTTCAGATTGTTAAAACACTACACCATTTTGAAGCATATAATATCAAACAACTTTCATCTCACACTTTTTCAATATAGCGAATGGTTAAGGGTGTAGCTCGCTGATTCCATACTTTTCCGCCACTCTGTATGTCTTCCCCTGTTATGATGACGACATCATACCTCTCAGCAGCTGAGAAATCTGTGTCTTTTACTACCGGTTTCACTTGGTTCCCCTACATTAGGGGGAGGGGGAGAGGTGTTCCAAGATGAGTGATTAGATATTTTAGAAAGTACAAAAAATATTCTTAGTTCACGAGATATACGCGAAAAACTGAAAAAATTCCGAACATTTAGTTAGTTCACTTTTCATTTTCTTGGTTTTTTGAGGTAGTGTTCTGCTGAGTTCATATGAATCTGACAGAACATGTAATAATTTAAAAAAAAGGAGCATGTCATTCGGGAATAGAGCACTTAATTGGCACCTAATTATAGTTAGTTCACTTTTCATTTTCTTGGGTTTTAAAGGTAGTATTCTGCTGAGTTCATATGAACCTGGCAAAACATGTAATACTTTAAAAAAAAAAGAAACATTTTATTCGGGAATAGGGTACTTAATTAGCACCTAATTATGCAATATGTTTGATTGTGTTCTGCTGACCTTGCTCTGCTAGGTTCATGGGCATAAAAAAATGAAATATAGGTTTTCGCCTTAACGCGAGTAACTTTAACGCAAAGTTAAGGCATAAATATTCTTATAAATAAGAACCTTCACACCTGATGTTTTAAATATGAGATCTTTAGTTAAAATATAAAAAAAACTATAAATAAGAAAGTTGACATTGCGCAGTTTGAACATGCGCACATCATATTTGCGAAATGATTGTCTACTAAAGCATCTGTGGTTATAATTTCAAAAAAAATATCTCCATAAATAAGGAAGTGACATTGCGCAAACGCGCAAATTAATCGTCGAGATTTTTCTTGGGTGCTATAAGCTACCGACTGCAAAAAGAATGAACTAATTAGTTTGAAAGTATGAAGTAGTCGTGTTAGTGACATCAATAACAATAACCGATTACTTACGCTTTCCTATTTCATAAAAGAATTTCTCATTACCTCCAATTTCGTAGCGATTAGAATTTTTTGCCCTTTTAGTAGGGCGCTGAGAAGCTTCTTTAACGAGTGGAAGCGGAATGCGGTGGAGGCTTTCATGATCGATTAGGTTATATCACATTTGAAAGAGATTGATGCGCAGATAACGGAGATAA